TGTGTGTGTGTGTGTGTGTGTGTGTGTGTGTGTGTGTGGGTCGTACCATGTCGCTGATCTGCACGTGGCCGTAACTGAATACGATGGCGTTGGGGGGGTTCCCGACTGGAAGCATGACCCCAAATGACACGCACATGGTGGACGGGATCAAAGTGTGCAGCGGGTTGATCTGCAGAGTCTCCGACTGGTGCGAGGGAAGGGGGTGAGGGAGAACAAAGGGAGAGGGAGGAGAACGATACAATAAATGAAGAGAGATGAAAAAATGAATTCTTACAAAGGGAAGGAAACACGTGCACATTACATTAGCTCTCCCTGAGAAGCACCTCAGAGCAGGAGCCAGTGATCCAAAAGGGGGAAGCAAAGTTATCAGTGATGCTGTTATTTGATGATGACGCAGAGGAAATGCTGCACAATCATATATACATCGGCGAACCTTCGAATCCAATCCATGAGAGCGATGAGGTGAATAAAACACTTGTGGCGAGGCAAATCACAGCGCTGCTTGATGTTCAACTTTGGTGAACTTTGACCTCTAGAATTCAATTCACATCCGAGCAACAGCTCTGTTTAGTGCACTTACATGTGGCACCACCCTCTTTCTAAGTTAACCATACTTCAAACTAGCTAGAAAAGCACAGAAAATACTTCATACTGTTCCCACTCTGCAAGACATCTCATGTAGCATGAATAATTTTAAATACAGAAATGCCTTGGTGGGTGGCTGTGGCTCAGGAGATACAGCAGGTCATCTACTAACCACAGGGTCGGTTGTTCAATCCCTGTTTCCCCCAGTCTACCTCCAGAAATGTCACATTTCAACTCAAAGCAGCTTTCAACCAGATGATCATTTAGTAATTTCAATTTTTTTCCCTCAACCTGATATTTTGTCATGATCGTGAACGATGGCCGGTCCTTGTCCTGAGACTGTGCGTGTGAAGGAGTGTGTTGTGTGTCGTACCAGGGCAGACAGGATGGGCAGGAAGACGGTGAGAGTTGCCGGGTTGGAGGCAAACTCAGTGACCGCCGACACCAGCAGGCAGGCCAGCAGGGTGACGGCCCAGGGAGGAAGGCCACTCATGGGCTCCAGCTGTCTGCCGATCCACACCGACAGGCCCGACACCTGCACACACACACACACACACACACACGAAACACGTGTGAGCACTTATGCAGCGTTGTCTGACAGACAGTAACAGATCAGATCAACTCTCCGGTTGTGGAATGATCAATCTGAAACATTTCTCTGACGTCTACAGTGTTCACAAATATTCTGCAGTTCAGTTATTTCTTCATTACAATATCAGTTTTAACATTGCACCATTTTAAAGTTGATCTAATTGGACAACGGGAGCATACAGATATGATGCACTTTTTTATCACTGATAAACTACTGCCGAACCAAAAACCCTGGTCCATGTCAGATTATATGCAAAAAAAACAACTAATTTAGATTATCTAGATTTCTTATCTTGAACCTTCCTCAACCTTTAGAAGAAAACCTCAATTTAACCATTAACCTAACTTAATCATCCAGTAGTGTAACACAATGACAAACACACAAACAGATAGCCAGTACCTTACAACCAGCGGCCAGTGCATAGCCTCCTCCCACCAGGATGACGATCTCCCACGGCATCAGTCTCTGAAAGTCCTTCCAGGTGATCATGGGAGCCAGAGGGTCAGACTCTGAATAATCAACTGATTGGTTTAAACACAGACACACATGTATCTTTAGTATTTTGTTTACTAAATATCATTAATGATAAAGCACAGTTTAGTTTTTCCTGTACTAAGAAAAATATCTCACAGTTCATGCCTGAGCTACATCTACGTCTTTTAGGTTTTGGTGTTTCAAGGTTAGCAGAATGACGTGTGTCAGCGCTAAAACATCATGAGCTGAGCAGCGTAACACAGTGAAATACAATAAATGTCAGTTGTCCAGTGGTTTCCAAGCAGTTGCACAACAGTGGAGCATAGCAGTGACTGAACCAGAGGTTACTCTGACCTGATGACATGAATACATGCAATTAATCAACCTGCAGAGCCTGGGAACACAAAGAGGGGCCTGTTAGAGCTACTGGCTATTCATTTTTAATAAAGCCCAAAATACATGAACATGATACGTTTTTTTTTAAACAACCACAATGTGAAGTCACAGTAAACAGAAACCCCAACAGCCTGAGACATTGCAGGTAAATCAAAAACTGCCAAATGCATGAGCGAATGGTGCTGACCTGTGTTTCTATAGCTGGAGGAGGAGGAGGAGGAGGAGAAGGGTCGCCTGGCAGGGATGAGGAAGAGCAGGAAGCCAAGAAGGACAGACACTGTGGCATCGGTCCTGTAGCCTTTCCTGAAAGAGAGAACACACAACACAAATTAAAGTTCAATTATTGTCTCTCACAACTTGAAAAGGTACATTCACATTAAGCCTAAAACAACTAATATTTCCTTAAAAGCCAAACAGAATACAAATGCTCCAAGTAGCTTCTCAATCAAAATAAACAGGCCCAGGCTGCAGGCACGTACGTTAAAGTTTATATTTTAATGAGACATATCATGTTTTTCTCAGTCTTTCTTTCCTCTAGTGTGTTATTGAGGGTTTTTTGTATAGAAAAGTTAAAAATCCCAAACTCTGAATCTCCTGAAACACCTCGTCAATAGTCCGGTTGATATCCAACCAACCAATCAGAGCAGACTGAGCTTTAACAGGTGGGGGGCCTGAAAAAGACAGGAGCTAAAACCAAGTATTTCACAACGAGGCTGAAGAGAGGAGCTGCAGCAATGGAGAGTAAGAGGATGTAACCCTTTTTATTTATTAACACCAATTAAAATGATAAACCTGAATTTGAGCAGAATATATTTTGTTTTAAGCTGCTCACTGTCTGGCTGAGTTCTTTCTGCATGTGACCTCCATCTTGACATAAACGCCACACCACCACTGGCTGGAGTGAGATTAATCAAAATGCTTAATTTACATTTTAAGCATTATTCCATTATCACTGCGCATTTGCCACATGAATTTAATTTGGTCTTGAAGTCACCAAACATAAGATTTAAAAACAACTAATGTATCATGTGATGTATCTACAGAGTATAAATATCTGCTTTGATAATTCAGGCTATAATTCCAGAATGCGTGTGTGTATGCATATGTTGTGCAGTCATCACGATAATTACCACGTCTGTGTGCATTTCTGTCTGTGTGACAGTGTGTTTACCCATTTCTTCCTTACAAACAGGACCACTGATCACTGTCTGAGCGCTAACACATGTTAGTGATAACAATTTCGTGGTGGTGTGTGTCGCAAGTCGCAACATTATGGCCACTCACTTCTCAAAGAGAGACGTCCAGCCAGGCACGAAACCTGGTTCTCTGGTGAACCACAGCAGAGTCATCAGGATGAAGAAAACACCGGTCACCACCTCTGGGTAGCTGAGACAGACAGAAACACACACACACACACACACACAGAAACCACAAAAAGACTGTGAGCAGCAATTACATGAGTGGTAACGTCTGAGTGTGTGAGTGAGATAAACACACATACTGTTGGTCTTTTAAACTTCTGAGGACCAAGTTTTAACTTTCAAACGGTCCTTTAAATTAGTGAGAACCAGACAATATCGTCCTGTGCACAATGTTATATCTACTAACTGAAACGGAAAGTTCAAAGTAGCTTATTTGGCCTTAAAACATCTTTGGGGCTTTATTTTACACAAAATGTTCACAGAGAGAAACAGTCATACACACCTGATGGGTCCCAGTTTTGTGTATTCCTCGTGAATCCTCTTCTCCGACAGCATCTCTCTCCTGGTTTTGCGTTTCTTACTCAGCGAGCAAGTTTCTCTGAAGCTGAACACACAACAACAACAAAATCAACCAAAGTGCAACCTGCAGCAACAGGACAACAAACTGTCTCATGTTTCACCGTTGTACGACAGACAGAGGGATTATCATGAGACTATAATGATAAGATGGTAAGAAGTGGACAAGTCCGACACACACTATAATCAGTCTGTTGTGTAACACGCATCAAAACACACTCACTTGCAGCCAAGGAAGAGGAAGTGCAACCACAGCCAGGTGAGGACCAGCATGATGATGGCGATGGGGAAGCTGAAGATGAACCATGTTCCGAAGTTGATCACCTTTGCATCTGGATAACGACTGGAGACACAGAGTTAGTTTAGGTTAGGATATCTTTCTGGATCATCTCTGCCCTCGAGAGCGAACTGATTATTTGCTAGTTAGTAAACCAGACAATCAGTTTAAAAAGACTGTATTTACAATTAACTCCTGTCTGACAACTTTAAATCAGATTACAAATCCACTTACAACAATGCTTTCAACACAAAGGTCATGCTTGTATGTTATATATAGCAAGAGCTGACAGGATTAAAGAAATCCTTCTTCTGTTTCTCTGGCCTGAAGAGCAAAGGGCCTGAAGTTTGATGAAAACCATTTTAATTCCAGAGAGGCCACGACCTCTGGAAATATCACTGAATCCTACTTCTTGCACAGAATCAATTATTTTGCTAAGGGAATTCTTGCTGGCAACATTAGTGTAACTGTTTGGCTCAAAGGAGGCTCTATAATTTTAAATGTAACTTTATCAAATGTCATGGCTACAGAGAGAAAAGTCAAAACTTTAAATCTCACAGTGGCACAAAGAGAAAAATTAGGAGAATCCTGAAAGTTAGTCCTCAAATCTGTGCACCGTAACAGTGTGTCAAATTCTTGACTTCCTTAAAGAGGTGTAGAGAGATTTCTTATGTCTTAACTAAAGTGGTGCACCAACCCTCACTATCATCCACAGGTTAAGAAATGAAAAAAATAAAAAATGTAAAGAACATGAAAAGGGTTTGATTTTATAATGAGATGTAAATCGGCCAACATCTGCAATATTAACACCTGAATTCTGTAGCTGCTGATATTAACTTAGCAGATGCTGTTATTGTGGGGGTTTGTCAAGAAGCCGGAGCACAATAGTACAACAAATAGTAGAGGAGGAATGAAATGAAGAAGAACAGGGACCATCGGGAAGAATTTCAGTGGGCTGGTCGCTGTGTGGGCCAAACTGGAGCATCCTTTGTTTTCCTGCTTGAGCAGCCTATAGATGCATCGTCAGCCCACTTTGATTGTGCACCAGCCCACACTCCATATGGTGATGCTTGTCATTCCCTGTGAATGGGCTGATGTCATGCAGGGCTGCATTGTGGTACAGAAGCCAGTCACTTGTGCAGCCTTTTCTTTTTCCATGAGCAGCCCTAAGATGCATTGCTCTGATATTTATCTTTCACATCACAAGGTCAAAGGGTGTCTGTGTGTATTTATGTTGCTGGGGTCAAGTTCAGTACTAAGACTCACTAAGACTTGCCGCAGACAAGGACACACACACACACACACAAACTCACTCACTCACTCAGCCTCATTTACCATGAGGGTACGTATGAAGACGACCTGAGGCTGTTTTTGCTCTGAAACTATGTCAAAAAGTTTGGTTCAGCACATCACGTTTACACACGTTTTTTACTTATTTGACCAAAAACATTTGGCTTGCAATTATTTCAACTGTAGACACACACACACACACACACACAAAGCTCCACAAACACTCAAATCCTGACCTTTGTCCAACAAGCTGCGACATGAAGGAGGCCATTCTGCCAGGCTTAGTGCAGCAGCCGGAGAAAATCTGTTCCATTAGCACTGTAGAGGCTGATTAGTTTGATCTCGGACCCCATGCGCCACACCCCCCCCCCCACACACATACACATACACATGCGCGCACACACACTCCACTAAAATGAAGTGCGCAGCAGCCGAGACATCTCTCAAGATGTAAATGTGCTTGAAAATTGATATAGTGTCTCCGAGCATCCTGAGCTAATACAGGACCAAAATATCTGCCTGATCCCAGAACAGCACAGTTTTCTATACTTTATTTTCTTATTTCACAACTTGAATGTGTGTGTGTGTGTGTGTGTGTGTGTGTGTGTGTGTGTATGTGTGTGCTTATTTGTGCATGTGTGCACATGTACCTACGTGTTAAACTGCTCAGCAAAGATGAGGTTGGTGGACGTGCCGGTGATGGTGATGAGTCCTCCGATGGTCGCAGCGTAGGTGATGCTGAGCGACAGGCATTTACAGATCATGTGATCCCTCTTGGTGGGATACTGGGAGTCTCTCCTGGTTTTCACCCGCTTCACATTTGGGATTTCGATCGCAACCTAAGACAAAGATTGATTGTGAACAGCAAGAGAAGGAGAGTTTAGAGTTTCCAGCAGCTCTACAGTCACACATCTGCCTCTTCAACCTCCAATAAAATGTTCCTCACCTGCGGCAGGTGTCCATTGGTGTGTTGGATGAAGTCCTGGTTGGAGACTGGCCTAAGACCCAAACCAATTATCTCCCCAGTCTGGACCTGAGAACAAGAGAATTTACATATAGCTCATGGATGTTCCTGTTCTAATGCTAATTATTTGAGTAATTTCTACTTAGTGCAAACAAATCTGAACACAGACCGCTATGTCGGCTGATCATTCATCATTTGATCGCTTTTGATATTGGCCAATCACAGATATATGATATATTTCATCATCATGATCATGATGCAGAAAAAGGTGACTTGGGTAATTGAGTCCTCATTTTTCGTCCAGCAAACTCAAGCTATATGTGGTCAGATGGCGGCGGGTGAACAGAAACAGAAGCTCTGTCTCAATTCAGGGGACACATCCTTTAAAGGCTGCATCTAGACTGATTTAAAGACTCCTTTAAATGCGTCCTCTCATCCCAGAGAAATGAGGGCATAGAATATCTACTTAGCAAAGACCCATTTCCAGCATCCGCTGGGCTCCTACAAGTCTCACCTCACTCAGTGTAGAAAGCTCCTGTTTGTTGCAGTCACTGCTGGAGAGAGAGGAAAAATATATCAATTAAAACAAGCTTGAGTAACTCATCAGCTACAGTTGACGAAATCCTTCAGCCAAATCACATTTGAAAAATGAGTATGAGGAATACAGCACTGGGGTGAATGGAACATCACTACACTCTCTCCCTGCCAGCAGCTGGTACTGGCAGCATCAGTGACTGCATTGCTCAGTGGCCATTGATTGATAATCGCAGTTTGGAGAAGTGAGTAAAAACGTTGATTGCCACACACCCAGTGCATCAGTATACGTTCACACTAATATACAAACACAACACGTACCTGTTGTTGCGGTAGAGCAGCTCTAACTGGTTCTTATCCAGGTTGTCTTGTTTGTCTGAAACAGCTGAAACATGTATTATCATTATAAACAGTGTAATAGGGAGATTGTTGGAGTAACAATGTATATACAAATATTTTTACAGTATATTTATGGACCCACAGTCTGTTAACACATCCCAGTTTTTTTTCTGAGAGTGTGTGGGTGCAAGCGATCCTATAAAATTGTGTTTAAAGACTTCCCCACGAATCCCAACGTACCGCGGCCATCCTCAGGGGCCTCTACGGTTTCGGAGTCATCGTGGCTGTCGGCCAGACCGGTGCAGATGAGCTGCTGCAGGACGGCCTCAGCTATGGGCATCACCATGGCTGTGGTGGACGTGTTGCTGAGCCACATGGACAGAAACACTGTGCAGCACATGAAGCCCAGCACCAACCTGGAGGAGAGAAGAAAGAGGGACGTTGACGAGGGTGTGTGTGTGTGTTTGGACCATTTCCTTTCCCAGTCTTAGCTTTAGGGAGTAAGGGCACGTTGGTCAGTCCTTACTTCTGCGACGTAAATCTTACAACAGAGTGAGTGTGTATGTGAAATTGGCCATTGTAGTGAGAGCATGAAAAGTGTGTGAGCTGCTCACATGCCAGGCTTGGCCCCTGCGATCATCACCATGCGCAGAGCGATGCGTTTGTGCAGGTTCCACTTCTCGATGGAGGCTGCCAGGCAGATGACTCCCATCAGCAGCAGAGTGGTGTCTTTACAGTACTCAGCTGCCACCTGAACACACACAGATTTAAATCTTTTAATTTCACAATAAAAATCTGACTTTACAAAATATAAAACAGTTGAAAGCTGTCGATAAGAAATAAGGATCTAAGGAGACAGAAAGGAGTCATGGGGCCGTTTGTTTTCCCCTCCTTCTTCACCCACTCCCCTACTTCACCCTCCTTGGTCTGGATCAACACTTACAGTTTGCCAATTGTTCTGTTTAATCTGCTCTACTTCCCACCCGCAGGGTTCACAGCCTCAAAGCATTGTGTAAGCCTGCGTCTCCTCACCTTTCACCTAAAAGCTGCTGCGCCTCCTCCTGGACTGGTTCAAACACAACAGAAAGAATTACAGTAACTACAGAAGAAGCCAATGAGTGATTCAGGCCCCAGATGAAATCTAGATTGATACACTGATACACCAATGACTTAATGATAACAAAAGAATGCATCTTAGTTCAGTAACTATTCATTTCTTCTCCAGATATTTCTTAACTGAAATTAAACAAATTGAACTGTTTCAAAGTCCTAATGTTTTGCAATGAGAATATTCGCGGCTAATCCACTAGAATTACTAATGTGAGCTCTTGAGGAATTAGATGCAAGTGTTTGGTTTGAAGAGGAACTTCAGAGACTATTTAAGAAAATCAAGTGTGGAGAACTTGAACTTGTATGAGATTAAATCGATGCTTGCTGCCTTCAACACTTGTGAACATGTGAGTGGCATCTGAATAAAACTCCATCTTCACTATGAGTTATCAGTATTTAGCAGTATAGAAGTAAGGCTGATAATGCAGTAAGTCAAGTACTTTGCTTGTATATACTGTACGTAGTAATGCTCCACACAGGCATCCTGCATCCAGTGGTCACTAGTGGGTTGGTGTGGGGGGGTATTAGGGGAGACTGGAAAGTACCATAATAAACTGGAAACGTTGCATAAAGCTCTCATATTTGTGGAGCACCATCACAAGAGGCTTACCAGCGGTGTTCACAGGCTGCTTTGTCACTGTTTGTCAATGCGATTTGGTCACATGAGGCGCACAACTCGCTTTTTTATGTAACGCTAATGAGAGTGGTGAAGACAACGGGAGGGGGGGGGTCAAATCTCACAGGGTTGGAGCATCCGACGGCTCTGGGCAGTGGTGATGGTGTGAAAAAGTGTGAGTGGCCGGGTGTCGGCACGTGCTAATGCAGAAACATTGAGGGATGATGGAAATGATGATAAGTTCCAGGTTAAATGTTGTTTCTTCTTTTCAGAAATTATCTTTGTCCACACAAGTGTTTTGGTTCTGTGTCAGTTTTAACCCCCAACACGTCTGAAAACGTGTATCATGGGACCTGGGCATGTGGAAGCATTTGGTTGTCAGTAGCAGAATTGTCACAGATTCCTTGAGTAATAACTCGTCTCCTACACTAAGCAGTCGTATGGTGTAAAATGCAGAATTTAACTGCACAAAGCTGAGACCACAACATGTTGGGTTCTACACTGGCAGCAGAGTTTAATGCTGTTTGTTTTCTTCCAGAACGAGGTCGTGTGATAGGAGCCTGACAAATCAGTGAAGGTTACATCATGAGTAAAAATACCTAATATGCTTCATTTCTGATATACGGCTGGACGATATGACCAAACAAGATAAAATCTGTATCTGTATATCAGTCGATATTTATATTAATCACAATAAATGTCATATTATTTTTTCTTTTGAGTTTAAAGACTGATTTTTTTCTCCTGAGTGAAGGTTGTGGCTTTAAACTATTCTTCATAGGCAGCGAAAGACAAACAATTGAAAGCTAATTTCTAGATCATGAGAGGAAGTGGAGACGCTTCATTCCATATTTATTTGGGCAACGGTGAGTTTCTATAGCGCCCAGTCAGAAGCAGTGACTGCGAGTAAGCTTCGCTCCAACTTTGTAGTAAAATGCTGCTCCCTATCTGGTTGGAGTATAAATGCGTCTGGATCTTGAAGTATCCTCCCTGGAGTTCAAAACACTGAAAGGCCTTTTACCCATAATTCTTCCTGATCTGGAATTACTGTAAATTCACATATACAGCAATCGGATCAGCTGACTCTTACTAACAACACAGTAACACATTGTAAGAATCTGATATCCCGGCATTCAACTTCAGCCGGCAATCGCTGTTAAGCCCAACACAGTTTACTGCCTGCCCTAAAGAACACAAGTGTTTCTCTCACTCTTCCCAGTGACAAAGGTTAACACTGAAATATTTACAGTTGGAGCTGCTTTTACAGTAACAGAAAAACTAAGCTCCTGTAAAAATAAAACACAGTTTGTGGCAAACAGGTTTCCTCAGGGATCAAATTAGCTGATAGGTTTCAGCATATGTTTATTCAGATTTTATTGGTGACCAATGCACACTAATGACACTCAAAGTAAAATGTAAATTTCGTTAATGTTTCTAAAAGTTTAAAAACACTTTTTGGGTTAAAAAAGTGCTGCTAATGATTTTGAAACAAGAAAATAAAAGAATAAACATTATATTTAGTGTCTGTGACAATCTCACACAATTTTATTTAGTTAGTACTAGTAAAAAAAAAAACTCACCTCGCTGGACTTCAGGACTCCAAACAGCGGGTAGAGGAAGGCTGGGACCAGAGCGGCAGCACCCAAGGGAACGGCCTCTGACACCCAGTAGACTGCTGTCACCATCAGCACATACGCGCAGCAGGCCTCCTGCGGGAAGGAACAAGAACATTGTAAGGACAAAAAAGACACAGGCTCATGCTTCTTCATCAGACGTCCACACCACAGCAGAGAGCACACAGGAAAAAGCAATATTTAAACAACTGGTAATTTATGTTAGCAATAACAATCAATCAATGCTGTGATATCAATATTTTAATGCAACTATAGGTGTGAAAATAAAGAGTATTTCCCAAAACATTGTACTACTCCTTTAATTTAGTCAGAATGTCATATTTTGAAAGGTGCAAATTGAAAAATATCCTTACACTGTTACATACACTGTTGGGTTTCTATCAGGTCTCCACCTTACCTTGTAAAAGTGCCTTGAGATAATGTATGTTGTGATATGGTGCTGTACATATAAAATTGAATTAATACAAACTAATCCAGGAATCAAAGATAGACAAAATTTCATTCTGGCTCAATATATACACATGTATGTAACTACACTGGCACAAATGCACACAAATATATCCTTGAGCAAATATCTACATGTAAACATGTGTGTCTTTTTGTGTCACATACAGTATCTCGAGAATCGCTCATCTTATCGCCTTCATACTTAGCATGTGTACTGCAAATTGTCTGGGTCAGCGTGTGTGTGTGTGTTATATATCTCTCTCTAGCGTACATGTACACAAGCACTAACACTGATGGTGCTATTAATCTTGTTATGGTTATATAATTTCAACATACCAGTCGCTCATGCCGCTCTCACCAGCGGGCTTAGTGACAGGCTCCCCAACATTAAAAACCAAAGAGGAATCTCGTGACATTTGTTAAGACCTTATGAAAATAACCAGGACTCTCATTAATCATTAAGACAATATAAGCCCCAAAATCAGGCCTCTTCCAGCAACTCCACATGTCCGCGGCACCTCACACACAATTTCAATTCAAAACAGGTCAGTTAATCTGAAATTAATAAACCCGGGGGGGGGGGGGGGGGTAAACTGCAGGGTTACAGGACAAAACGTGTCCAGACCAGTTCAGACCTCACAGCAATTCAAGCCATGGACTTCTAACAAACCTGTGACTCTAACATGATAAATCACCTTCTAACTGTTACATTAAAAGAAATTACATCTTTGCAGTTTGAATTTTGTGATATGTTTCAATAAATAAAAGGACATTTTAAATTTAAAATCTATCTCTATAATTAAAAGTATAAGGGAGGAAATCTGTAATGGTTTTTGCTGCCAGCCCTCCTTTGTCTCCTTCCACTTGGTTAACAAGATTTTCAATCTGTCTGTCTCCTCCACATTCAGGAAACACGAGGTCACTGAGGAGGCTGCATGATAACGGGATTAACACAGATAGGCGTTTGATTATTGATCAGTGATTGAGACAGAGAAGAATGGAAAGAGGAAAACAGAGGTGGCATAAGGGAAGAAAGAACAAATAGATCAATGGAGACCAACATGGATGAATAAATGAACACATAGGGACAAAGATTATCTGATACAGTCGTCACTGATCATTGGTTATTGGTCTCTGTCGATCAGAAGACAGTTACCACACACCAAGATCCTTAAACATCCATTTGTGTGTTTTTTTTCTTCAGTTAAAGTCAAAGTGCTGAGTGAGCAGAGAGGCAAGTATCACTGATGCAACCTCTCTGATAACTTGTCGTGTCAGGGGGTGGATGGCGATAACACCCGTGTTTCTGTTTGAGAGGCAGGGACACGTGTGGCGTAACCAGTATTTCTGACAACTTTGTCTCCTCTTTTGGAGAACAACTTCTTCCAGAGTTGATCATTATTCATTTTGACATAACAAACAAAGGTGAAACTGCAGATTACTGTTGAAGTCAGTGACATTTTGTGGAGAACAGTGGAGGAAACAGTTGAAATAGGATTTTTTTGCTAAATGTAGGTCAAAGTTCACTTGACTGTATAAAAGCTGCAATAGAAGGTGCTGCTGCAGAGACTGGATGTGTCAATGGATCTCAATATCATGTTTTCCATTGTGATGGATTTGTGTCAACATGAGGCTGCAGCTCACTCAGCTGAGATGAAATCTTTCTACAACGCTCTTTCTCTGCCGACAGGCCAGTTTTTGTCTCAGCGATCAACAGAAGCCCATTGATTGTATCATCAGCTCCCTGTTATCTGCCGTCAGCTTAGGATATGGAGATGATTGGTATTTAGAAGAAACACACAGTGGTTTGAAAACTCCTGATGGGCAGATTAGCTCACATAACAGAACCAATCTGTCAGATAACACACAAACAAACACAATCTGTGTTGTACACAGCAAAATCAATCTTAGTAAAATACTTTGGTACCTAGTGGATCCTTAGTATATTTAATAGACGTGTAAAATAAACGTCATTATAATGATCTGCTTTATGCTGTCTGTTTTTAAGATGTTGCCACAGCAGTGTGTCGAACTCTAGTCCCTCTTTAACCTCAGTTCATTTCTGGAGAAGGTTCCTGTGTTCCTGCTCCAAAGAGCCCAGGCCAGTAGAGTTTACTTCACACATCATGAGGGAGTTTGACAAACTGCTCCTGGATTCCTTCCAGTCAATGGTCAAGCCTTCGTTGGACCCTCTCCAGTTCGACTGTTGAAGTGGACGATGCCCCGCCGTGCCTTCACTCAGCTGGAGAGTGAGTCATGTTCTTTGATTCCTCCAGCGCCTTCAACACCACTCAGCCTGCCCTGCTGGGGAAGAGCATGACCGATGCTCCACTAGTGTCCAAGATCATGGACCATCTTACCAGTCGTCCTCATCATGATCACCACTGTGGTGATCAGTCCTGTGGTTTCACAGGGCACCGCTCCACACTATGGTGGTGGACAGTTTTGTGGCCTTGTGTTAGATGCATCTTAACATCAGCTAAACAAAAGAGTTGGGTGTGGATGATCAGGAGATCCAGGAATCCTGTTATTCTCTTCTTTCCGTTCAGGGAGAGATGGTGGAGATGAACAAACCAGGCCAGCGCCATTTTCCATCCTGTGGTCTGAGTCTGGTTGACATCGAGAGACTCAACTTGGTTTAGATGTCATTCTGCCTTGCTCATGATTCACTTACCCTGGATTTATTATGATCACTATACTTATACTTCCTCTGTACTAAGTTAGGACTATAAAGCACAATGACATTTATATAAAATAATTATATAAGACAGAGAGCAAGAGACATTTTACCTTCAACCGCTGAGTGACAGTGCTCAGAAAGCTCTATGATCAAAGATCAAGAGATAATAATCTAGAAAATGGTATTTGTTGCAAAAGTATTGGGTGGATGGATGGATGGATGGATGGAAAAAGTGATGGATGGGTGAACTGATGGATAGCACTTTTCCAGTCTTAATAACTATTCAAGTGCTTTACAGTACAAGCCATTTATTCAGGGCTTCTCCAATCACACACAACCATTGTGGGCATGTATCTTGCCCAAGGGAACTTCGGATTGCAGACTGGAGGAGCGAGGGATCGAACCACCAACCTTCTGGTTAGCAAACGATTGGTTATACCTCCTCTTGAGCCACAGTGTTCAGCGAGTTATAAGGTAAGTTACTAAAACTCATCCTGTGGGGAACACAAATGTCTGTGCCACAGATTGTTGTGTTATGGAGTCAAATCCGGTCGGCATCATCTATCATTGGTCCTGTCTCTACCTCTGTCTATGACCTGGCCTGACTGCACCCAGCAGATGTTCTGTCCTGCTGCAGCTGGACACAGTATCACTCCACACACACACACACACACAAGCGCAGTGTCACTCTGAACCCCTGTCACATTCCTGACACCGTCTGAGGTCCCTGGTGTCGTAAGAACGCCACGTGGGGCCAAAATCCAGCATGGCGGTGGGTTGATTATATAACTTAATTGCTTGGATTGTTTCTTTCTTTTTCTTTGTAGTGAAGCTTTTGTTCCTTCGAGCTGTTTTTTTTCTTGGCCCCATCCTGTGCCGCCTGCTCCTGCCAAACATCCACCAGTCCTGACATAACAGCAAGGCTCCTGGACGACACTGCTGATTGGCTGACGGACAACTAGCAAGCACACGACGCTTGCTTGGAATTAATGATGTTATAAGAAACACAAACACCTACGACTCATATAACACATCATCGCACGGCTGTCACCACTAATACCATTGTTAGAGGTTGTTTAGCTACTAACAGTGATAATACTAATTTGTGTTAATGGACACGTGACTGCATTATTAACCGAATCAAAACATTAATCTAAACTGGCATCATCATGTTGCGAGATAATATTTAATTCACTACCACTGGAAAGAGATGATTTGCTGATTATCTTTTCTCTGCTTCACTGGTGGAGTCTGTGGTGTTTTAAAGTAACGAGCACTCCCATTATAATTCAACCATCACAAGACAAATTCATATAAATTACTGGATCTCCTTATTTCGCATCTGTGATGGAGGGCGGGCAGTTTATTGTGTTGCTAATGAATAAAGTCACACAGCTTATATGGGCCATTTTTACAGGACACATTTCAGAGCATGTATCACTGCTGTAAAGGTATTTCAAAAGTACATATAGTATATTTATACCTTTATTTGTTTCCTTTCTGCTGCATTGTCTAATACAAGTAACACAGTCTGGCTGTTTTCAGAACACACAAAAGAATTCAATGCCTTATTTTGAATGATAATGGCAAATAAAGGAGATGTGATTTCCCTCAACTATCGTTTGTATTTGGAAAAAGAGGCACAACAAGTTCAGAATCTTTTTCAGATGGAATGATTCTTCCTCCAGGTGGTGTAAGGGGCCGTTGAGGTTTCAGGGAGCAGTGGTAATCACGCTCGGCCTTTTTCAATGCTTGTCTGGTGTTTGTTCTTTCACAGAGACAGATGCTTGGCTGTGACTTGAATGTAATTGTAATTCATGAAAGGCACAAACTGTGGACGACAGACTTTGGAGAACAACATCCTGAAAAAGACAGGTTTTTTGGGGGGGTTTGCTTCTCATGGTGCCAGAAAACATATCCCTGGTAAAGTTTGTCTCAGGGTATGATACAATTAGCAACTTGTTCACAGGAAATGACGAGGGTGTCTCTCAGGTCTGAGAGCAACTAAACGTGATCCTGTGACAAAATCCTTTCAACACCACCATCCCTGAAAAGGAACGCTTGAACGAACCAACTCTGTGAAAATAATTTCCTCAACATGCGATTTGTCCTCACAGACGAGGCAGCGGCTCTGTGTCTTGACAACACTGTGAAGCACGTTTCATTTAAAAAGGTGAATGCCTTGCACAGATTGGATTTGTGCAGACTGAGATAATCCTATTGTTTCCTGAGCTGAGTCATCTGTCTAAGGAAACTTTCTGAAAGCAAACACAAGCTACAGCAACAACTTTTAACTTTCTGTCCTTTTTAGCAGAACACTCATCTCCATCTCATCAACATGTCGTGACATCTCCTCTCCACTCACACACACACACAGACACACACACACACACACACACACACACACAAACACTTAGCTCATCTGATGATTGTGAGAGCTTGAGGACAAGCATTCATCTAAACAAGAGACAGTGTGCCTTATGACTGATTCTCTGTCTCTCACTCACACACAAACACACACACACACAATGAGAAAATCCCATCAGGACACTGCAGCCACTTGCAGCAACCAGGGGAGACATCAACACATCAGCTGGAGGTTTTGTTTACGGATGTTTTCTAGGTATTTATTTGACTTAAACTGTATTTATAAAGACTAACCAAGTTAATTAACGATGTAAAGTAGAGTTTCAATAAAAAGGCAACATTATTTGAATTTTACTGTAGTTTGGAGCTGTTTGCAACTCTTCTGGTATGTGTCATATCACATCTTTTCTGCCTTTCTGGAACAATTATCATGTTTTGGTGTTTCAAAATGATTCTTACTGTATATTTTTTATGTCTTTGAAATCGTCCTAGATGTTTCTATGATCCAACATATCTACTTACTAAGAATAGTAAAGTAAAATGGTGTTCAAATTCTGTTTTAAAATGAGGCACATGCTTTTCTGGAAGAAGTTATTTTGTGTGCCTATAAAAAAAATTAAAATGATAACAGAGTCCATGTTTTCTCAGTTTGCTGTACTCACGCTTGTGGGGTGGATGAGCGGCAGCGGGAGCAGGGACAGCGGGATGAACACCACCAGGATCAGCTTCCTCGCCCTCCACAGCTTCCTGAACAGATCCATCCTGGCGGCGGCCTCCAGCCTCATGGATGACCCGGGTCTCTGGATCGGAACGGCCACAACTCAGCAGCTAAACCGGGCGTGAGGAGTCACAGGCGGGGGCAGCGTCAAGGCACCACCGACCCTGGAGAGCTGGAGGGAGGGAGGAAGGTGAGGCCGTCTCTAAGAACTTCTGATTTGGCTGTGCGCTTTTACGCACAGGCTGCGGACGTTGGCCGGATCTGAGTGTGTGTGCGTGAGTATGTGTGTGTGTATTTATTTTTCCACACTGAGCCAGGTCCAGCTCTCCTCCCCACCCGTGTGTGTGTGTGTGTGTGTGATGCCTTCAGGAACATCAGGTGAGGCCGCTGGTACATTTATTTCCATGGTTGGATATGTTAATTAACCACTGCTGTGCGCCACCCTCACTGGCTGATGTTCCACCAATCAGGCTTGAGTAAAGTTTTGCACAGGGCGTGTGTGCATGTTGCTCTGTAAAGATATCCATCCATTATCCAATATTATATGGAAATAATGTTCAGTTTTTCTAAATATTTTCAGATTATGAGCACTTCTAGATTAAACACATATATAAATTAAAGATACATTGTAAAATAAAACAGATAATCAGAAACTTGGAATACACTGAGATATTACAGGTTGTTGCTTAAAGTGCATAAAACAATTTTAATGTTATGTTAGAATATTGGTTTTCTATAATGAATTTAGCTCATGGGTTGAAGCTGCACTCATACACTGCCCCCTAGTGGATTTAATGAGTCAGTGCCAATGTGCATTCTGACTCATTACAATAAACTTTTCTCACGAATGTCACAGTTAATCTATATAATTAATTTAAATCTGTTTTTAAAGAGTTAGGCTATTCAGAATGTACAACCATAGTTTTATTACTTTTGTGCTTGAGCCCAGAGAGCTGAACAATGAAGTTCAACCATGGGCCTTGTCTTTCTTTCGGCATTGTAGAGCCAATATTGTGCACACAAATTTTAATTTCTCTTTAGTCCGTTAAGATGGAATTAGATATATAAATGTCAGTTTTAGGAACATTTCCAAGCGTGGGAGTATTTTCCCATTAGTAATCAAGGCCCAGTAAAATTACATGAAGTTTTGCAGGAGTAAAAAACTGACTCATACATACAGGAGTTCATGTTCTCTATTGCATTTAAAGAAAAAAGAAAAACAATTTGCTGGACGGTTCATCAGATGTCATTTCTGCACCGTGTACTGTTTAGGTGCTCAGTCACAGAAGAAGGCACAACACAGTGATATCATAGTGAACCGACACCTGGAGTGCACCTGCAGCAACACGATAACTTAAACCAGTAGATGTCAGCAAAAGCTAAACGTTAATGCAAACTTTTGATCTCAGGGCCACTTGACAAAATGGGGCCTCAAGATAAGTTAATAATACAGGTGTTGCTTTAAGGCCCAAATCAATTCTCTTTAAAGTGTGTATTTGTGTTGCATAAACAGTGTCAAGCAACAGGTTTGGCTCATGGAGACCCTGGGGGTTTTGGGCCCAGTTCATTTCCTATTTTTGTCTGGCTTGTTTTTAGCAAATATGGAGTTTGTTACATTTTTTAAAGCTGCTTTTATCTTAATTTGTTTGAAAGTGTGAAAATGCATAAATTATAGAAACATCATCTTAACACCAGGGAACAGATCTTGTTCAGAAGTTACAAAACACCTCGAACACACATGGGTTTTTTTCAGGGACGTTACATAAAAGAAGTTTATTTAAAAGTTGCGGTGGGCTGTTACATGAAAAATGTTCACATGTACAAACAAACAGCTTTTCCTCCATTGTGTAATGAGGATTAATTCCTCACTTCTCCTCAAGTAGACAAAAAGCCGGGCTGCCTGCTAAAAGCAAGGAGACGTTTACAGGGATTATCCCTTCAATCTGCTGTAATGTGTAAACATGGATAAGAGGAAATGAGATTTACTGAAATTATACGTGAGTCAAGGAAATGTACTATTTATTGCTAAAGTATGAAAATAATTGAATGCACAAGTCACACAAATATGTGGATACATGGCTATAACTTACAGGATGTCAGTCCAAAAGTTAAATCTACACGTGTGTGTGTGTGTGTGTGTGTGTGTGTCTATTCTTCTTGTGTAACCTAATCTCTTGTTAGTTAATTCTCTCTAAACCTCTTCAAAACCTCTAAAAACTTTTTCAATGGTTTCACACTTCTCATAAGTGGTTCTCTCTCTCTCTCCCTCTCTCTCTGTACTTGTACTTATATATTTGTGAGGACCATTTTGAGCATAGACCTTACGGAGTGAGGACGGTATTGCAAATTGAGGACACTTTGGCCCATCCTCACTTTTTTAAAGGCTTGTTTCAGGGTTGTGTGTGTGTGTATGATAGAGAGAGAGAGAGAGAGAACTTTCTTCTACATGTGGTCACACCCAGTGTTTGCCTTCACTCTGACTGACAGCTGCCTCCAGAGCGTCTCATTGGGTGAAATGATTGATTCCACCATTCAACAGGTCTATAGTCGTTCTCTAGCTCCTCCCTCTAGTTTTAAGTGGATTTGATTTGCTGCATAGAAAACATCAAACCTGAACCTCCATGAAGGATACTGTCATAGACCCTGAGGAGGAGCTGTCCAGCCAACTGTGGTGCTGAACCCCATGGTGCTGAACACCGTGGTGCTGGTCCCTGTGGTGCTGGTCCCTGTGGTGCTGGACCCTGTGGTGCTGGTCCCTGTGGTGCTGGACCCTGTGGTGCTGGTCCCTGTGGTGCTGGACCCAGTTTACCAGCAGCAGCTTATTTCCCTTGTCTCATTAGTTCACCTCATACACTTTTCTTGAATACATGCTTGAATATGTTTGCCAAGCATGTGCATTTTAGAAAAAGTCCAAATTAGTTTCTTATGCTACTTTTACTAACAAAGGTAATGACGCAGGTGTTGATTTGTATTAGATGATAGTGTGTTTAATGTTTGAATATGTTTGAACATTATAACAGTGATATCCATCCATTATCTATACCGCTTATCTTTTGAGGCCATTGGGGGGCATGAAGCCAATCCCAGCGAAGAGGCGGGGTACATCCTGGACAGGTTCCCAGTGTATTGCAGGGCGGATGTACAGAGACAAACATTCACCCTCACATTTAAACCAACGGACAATCTCAAATGATAGTAATATATTTATGCAATCATGAACCAAAATCATCTTTAATTCAGAGACAAGTCTTCTAATTAAATGTCCCAGAAGAGCCAGTTGGTGTTCAAGTGTTTTTAAGAT